CAAAACATCGTTTAGCCATATGTCTGGATGTTTTACCCTAAATGTTTTTCTATTTCCTAGGACCTAAGTGTTTTCCTATGTGTTTCTACATTTGAAGATTATGGTTCTAGGTTGTGTTTGTTTGGGGTTTAGGATCTAAGTCTTGTGTTCTTACCCTAATGTTTTAATGTTATTTGATTAAATGTTATTTGATTACTCTATTGTAATGTTATTTGATTAAACTTCAAAACATGAGAGTGTTTCGTTGTATATACAATTTTGTCTTTAACAAGGACTATAAGTAAAGCTTTCATATTATTGTCTTGCAGTGCAAACGTTTTTTAAAATCAAAGACCTTTAGAGTTGCAATTGTTTTCATTAGTTCTCTTTGACATAGGTTTGCATTGTTTATACTTGCATTGTTTGTTCAGTTTCTCTTTCTTCTAGCCATGCATTGTTAATCAATTAAGGTAATGAGTGACTAAGGTGTTAGATGACACTATCTTTAGTTGCGGGGAAGGAGATTTTTTAGTTGTAGTATTTTTTAGGTGTAGATAAGTCAAGGGTATGGGTTGTTAGTGCACTCCTTAGCTGTAGTAGGTGATGTTACTTTTAATCTCAAAGAGTGGCACAAGGTCAGTGGTGGTCAACCTTAGAGTTGGAGGGTTACTAAGCTAAGAGTCATGTTTCCTAATGGTGTTGGTGTAGCGATATGAAGTAGATTAAGTGATTAATTGTTTAGTCTTGAAGTTAACTAATGTTTAGTTTAGCATACAATCTTTAGGAGAGAGTGTAGTAATGTGAAGGTAACTTGAATAAGGATAGGGGATTAAAATGGGTGCAGTCTGTTGGGGAGTTTGAGTTAGGTAAAGAACTAACCCATGAAGTTAGCTTTGATACCAATTAAAAACTGATGAATCATTATTTTGTACTATTCACTTAGCTTTCTGCACCAAATTTAATTACTCAATTGTACTTAATTTGATCAGTAATTCATATTTTAATTAATTTGGATTATCTGAGTTTAATCTTTCTCATTATTATTTGTAGGAAAATTTTGGAATCATATCTTGGAACAAGAGTGTTGCCACGTCATTTCTCATTATTCACGTCAATATTATATTTTTATTTCATTTTTATTTTGTTTTTAATGTAAATTGGGTCAGATTTGACCTTTTGAGCCCATTTTTGGTAAATTAGGAGAGGTCCATTGGTAGAGCAGATTTGGGGACCTAGGTTTTAATACCCCAAAGGACCAAAAGACACTTTTTCTCTTCTTCCAATTCTCGTTTTCGAGGCTTGGGATTTTTCAGCCCCCTCCACCCTTAGGTTTTTGCTTTCATTCTCCTTTTATGTATTGAATCTCGTTTTTAATTGCAATTTAATTTTCATTTTATATTCTTACTTCAATTACGTTTTCTGTTCTTGCAATTTCACTTTCCAATTGCATTTTCATTTTCCCATTGCATTTCGTTTACATGTCCAGTTTCGTTTCCATTTTCTGAATTTGTTTTACAAGTTTCACGGTCATTTTCGTTCCAATTTTAATATAGATTTCCAGTTCCACATTGCCCTTGTGTTGATGTTTTCAACTTCGTTTTGTTATTTGCATTTCATCTTAATGGTAGCTTGATTCTGTTTGGGTTGGGCACTAGGGAGATTGAATTGTTTCCATGAGATTCCGGCACTATGAATTGTTATTATGTTGCTCTTGTCTTGTATAATATTTAATTTGTTTTGTGCTTGCAATTAGGTATATGCTTAGTTGCCTAATTGGTGTTTAATCTCTGCTTAGTTGATTAACTTATGTGGTGAAGTATAAAATTTAAAACTTTCAAAATCTTTTTCACCAAAAGAGATCCCTTTATACTTTTCTTGAAACGTAAGTTAAAAGATTTTCATGTAGCAAAAATTTAATCGAATGCATATAAAGTATAATCGATTGAATGTAAAAGACTAGGGATAAGAAAGATCAAACGCGGAGTTTTTATACTAGTTCGGCAAAGCCTACATCCAGTGTCCTTCCAAACACAGGAAGCCAATGCACTATAATGATCATGGTTTTTACAACAAGGTTTTTATAGAGACCTCACGTCAAAAATATAAAACACCTCTCTAACCCTCTAATCAAAATATAGGCAGTACATAAACAGACTAGAACCAAGAATCCCCTCTCCTGCAATCCAACCCCTTTGAGGCACCCTCAAAGTCAAGAATGCAGCATGTCCTTCTTCCTATAATCACAACAAAGGAACTCAACTCAATCTTCAGCAGATTGTAGAACCTGATCTTGCAGTAGACACCTAAATATGCAGATAGCTCAGACTTTGAAAACTCGACAATCTTGCTCTTCAAGAAATCAAAATTACTTGATCACCACGGTCAAACTATTTTCTTGGAGCTTTTTCTCTTTCCGTAAACTTTACACTTTTCTGCAAAAAAATATATGAATTTTTTTGAATCACAAAAGTCCTTACAGAAATCAAATTCGCGTCAATATATAGATAAACTCGTATCAGACGCAATATAATCGACTTTGCAACTAATGCAGTTAAATATATTAATTCAGTTATAACAAATAGTAGCAGTCAAAGCAATTAATTGAATTCACAATTAATGCAGTCGAATAGCATTTAATTCTTGGTCAACACATTTAAAAATATAGTCGTTGTGACAGTTATATCAAGCATTAACAGATTTCAAAACAATAACAAACTTAATCGAATACATATCGCATGCAATCGATTATGTACCAGTGTTATGCAAAATTTTGAAAATTTTTCTCTTTGAAAAACTCTCATAGCACACTTGAAAAAGTTTATGCAAAGATACGAATTTTAATCGATTCACCTTATAATGTAATCGATTTCAAACTGTTGTTTTGCCACGCAATTAAAGTTCAACATTAGTGCTTGTGGTTTTTCTCATCCAAAAACATGTGTCATGCATATTCATGTATAAAATCAATATATAACACGGTGAAATGTAATGAACAACACAAGAACAACACGATCATATTCTCATATACACATATAACATGTAAGTATAGAACGTGTAACACAAAATACACATGTGTTATTAATTATGTGTTATCATCATCGAAAACTCGGATATTAATGAGATTGTGGGTTCAGCTAAACCATTGCTCCCCCTATCAACAATCTCAACACACCAATTAAGATACACGACTCTAGTATGTTTTCTGTGTAGTATGGTCTTGACTATGATAATTAAATTGTTGAATGACCTCTTATGTGACCTTTAAGTCAAGTTGTAGCTTCCTGCATTGTACTAGTTAGGTGAATATCATGTATTCTTGAATGGTTGAAGACTTATTTCCTTGTACTTGTTGTTTTGCCACACATTTTAAAGTTCAACATTAGTGCTTGTGGTTTTTCATCCAAAAACATGTGTCATGCATTCATGTATAAAATCACATATATAACTCAGTGAAATGCAATGAACAACACAGCAATCAACACAATCATGTTCTCATATACTCAAATAACATGTAAGCATAGAACATGTAACACAAAATACACATGTGTTATTCATTATTTGTTGTCATCATCAAAAACTCAAATATTACTGAGATTATGGGATCAACTAAACCAGTGCTCCCCTATCAACAATCTCAACAAGAATCTTTAAACCCCTATTCATACTCAATCGATTTGAATCAGTTAGAATCGATTTCTTGTTGTAGCATATTGTTGATTTTCCAGTTTCATCTATCCAACAAGTAATGTTCCTCGAAAACCTTTCATGGTCTTTCTAGATCAAGTATTTTAGAATCAATATGATATAGGAATTATCACATATAATGTGTGAGTATGCAAAGTTATGAATGTAATAGTAAAATGTAACAAATTTTCATACACTCATAGTGAAATCAATTTAAGTGTTATTTTATACTACTATCATCCAGAATTCCTATTTCATTTCAAATTGTATAAAATCTTTCTTTGTTCAATGGTTTTGTGAAAATATTTGCCCATTGATGTAAGGTATCTACATATTCGACCTTAATTTCTCCTTTGAGGATATGGTCTCGTATGAAATGATGCCTTATTTCAATATGCTTAGTTTTAGAGTGAAGAACAGGATTTTTAGTCAAATTGATTGCACTTATGTTATCACATTTTAAATGAATATGATCTAATGATATGCCATAGTCCTCTAGTTGGCTCTTGATCAAAAGAGACTGAGCACAACAACTTCCAGCTGCTATGTACTCTGCTTTTGTGGTAGATAATGCCACACAAGCTTGTTTCTTTGAGTGCCAAGAAACTAGTGAACATCCTAGTAGATGACATGTGCCACTAGTGCTCTTTCTATCTAGCTTACAGCCACCAAAATCAGAATCAATGTAACCCTTAAGAAAAATATTTGAACCACTGGGATACCACAGTCCAAGATTCTTGGTTCCTTTTAAGTATTTCAAAATTCTTTTTACAGTAGTTAAGTGTGATTCTTTTGGTAAAGACTGAAAACCTAGCATAGAGACAAACACTACGCATGATGTCAGGTTTACTGGCAGTTAAGTACAACAGAGATTCAATCATACCTCTGTACATTTTCTGATCAACTTCTTTTCCTGCTTTATCAATGTCAAGATAGCAGTTTGTTGCCATAGGAGTTGCAGCCTCTTTGCAGTCCAGCATTTTGTATTTCTTTAACAGATCAGTGCAATACTTGGATTGATGGATAAAGATGTCATTCTTGGTTTGCTTGACTTGATGTCCTAGGAAATATGAGAGTTCTACCATCATGGACATCTTGAACTCTTCCTGCATAGTCTTAGAAAAATCTTTACTCGGTGTAGGATTAGTTGATCCAAAGATAATGTCATCAACATAAATTTGAACATATAATTTTTCTTTATTTGAGTTCTTAATAAAGAGAGTTTAATCTACTTTACCCCTAGAGAATCCCTTCTTTACTAGTAACTCACTTAAGCGCTCGTACCACGACCTTGGCGCCTGTTTTAACCCATACAGAGCCTTTTTGAGTTTAAAGACCTAATCTGGGTGCTCATAGTCTTGAAATCTTGGTGGTTGTTCCACATAGACTTCTTCTTTAATATATCCATTTAAGAATGCACTCTTAACATCCATTTGATACAATTTAAACTTCATCATAGATGCAACAATAAGTAGAATTCTTATTGCTTCCAGTCTGTCCATTGATGCATACGTCTCATCATAATCGATTCCTTCTTCTTGACTGTAACTTCTAGCAACCAACCTTGCCTTGTTCTTTATGATTTCCCTTGAATCATCCTTCTTGTTTTTGAAGACCCATTTAGTGCCTATAACTTGTAACTTTTCGGTTCTTAGAACCAACTCCCATACATTGTTCCTCTTAAATTGATTTAGTTCCTCTTGCATGGCCATCATCCAATTTTCATTCGTAATAGCAGTTTCAACATTTTTGGGCTCAATTTTAGAAACATATGCTACATTCATGCAAAATTGATTAAGTTGACGCCTAATGGATACTCTTCTCATGATATCACTAATGATCTTGCTTGTCGAGACGTTTCTTGGTGTTTTCCACTCCTTAATCGATTCAGCTCTTGGGGTTCGATTTCACTCTCGGAATTTTCCTCACCTAGAATTTTTTAATTTTCTTTTTCTTCCCCAGCAGAATCATCTACATCTATTGACTTTCTAGAATGAACTGGATTAGTGGTAACATCAATATACTCATCAAAGGCTACATGAACAGATTCTTCAACACATTATTTTTTTGTTATAAACACGATAAGCTTTACTTGTAAGAGAATAACCAATAAAAACAGCCTCATCGGCTTTGGAATCAAACTTACCAAGGTTTTCCTTAGCATTGTTTAGAACGAAACATTTGCATCCAAAGATCCGTAGATGTAAGATGTTAGTCTTTCTTCCCTTGAACAATTCATAGGGAATCAATTTCAACATTGATCTTATCACTGTTTTGTTCAGTACATAACATGTTGTGCTAACTGCATCTGCCCAAAAGTACTTTGGGAAGTCCCTCTCGTTTAGCATGGTTCTTGCAAATTATTTTAGTGCTCTATTCTTCCTTTCTACTATTATACTGAGGTGTCCTTGGAGTGGAGAAGTTGTGAGTGATTCTCATCTCTGCACAATATTCATCAAATGCTTCATTCTGGAACTCTTTCCCATGGTCACGTCTTATGCACTTTATTCTTAGCTCTTTTTCATTTTGAATGGCTGCAACAAATTTCTTGAACACCCCGAAAGTTTCACTCTTGGAAGAAATGAAGAAAGTCCAAGTANAAAAACATATATTATGCATAGACATATAAAATCACATATTTCAAATAGTGATATACAATGAAGAACACAAACATAACTCAAACATGTTCTCATATATGCTTTAACAGATTTAACACATTAAGTAAAAGCACATAACATGTAAACATAGAACATGTAACACAGAATAAACATGTGTTATTAATTATGTGTTGTCATCATAAAAAACTCAAATATCACTGAGATTATGGGTTAAGCTAAACATGTGCTCTCTCTATCAATAATCTCAACAACAAGATTGTCTATGTTGAATATAGTGAAAATTATGTATGAGATTAATCACCCTTATGTTGAATATACACCTAGGATCCTTTATTTATAATAGAAGAAGTATGGGTTATGCCCAAAATACAAATAAGAAATAATAACAAAATAAATAAAGATAAAAGATAATCATAAGATAAACATCATATATCTAACACTCCCCCTCAAGTTTATGCATACAAATCGTATGTACCAAGATTATTACTAATATAATCAATAAAGAATTAGTTAAAATATCTCCTTTTGTACTCGAGTGACACCAAATTGTTAATTATTTGCGAAGACAACATAGAAGACGACATACCAACCCAAAAGACTCCCCTTGAGCAATAAATTTGGAAGGTTGCTCCATGTAAATATCTTCTTGCAAATCGTCGTTAAGGAAAGCATGGTTGATATCCAAAGGATAAAGAGATCATTGTTGAAGAGCTATCACGACTATAAATAAATTAAATAAAATCATTTTTACCACGAGAGAAAAAAACATATATGGACGAGTTAAATGCAATGGTGATAGAAGGGAAGTCAGAAGAGACAACAGCAGAAGAAGCCATGGATGAAAGGAAGGTGGAAACCTTAAAAGTACAATATTCTCCAATCAAGGCACCTAAAAGTGGAAAAAGAGCGACCTCAACGTTTTGAATACACTAGTAAAAAATTGGGTTTTTACAGCGCACATTATGCCACGGTTCAACGAAAACCGCAGCATAATGGTGCGCGGTGGCAGTTTTGTAAATAAATCGAACATATATGCCGCGGTTCTGCTCCAAACCGCGGCATATACTCCAGTCAACCATTGCCTTTGACGCCACGTATGAATAAAAAATTAAATAACAGAGTATATGCCGCGGTTCTCTGGACAACCGCGGCATATACCCCTGCCAATTTATTGCAGGTGCTGACTGGGTCAGAGAATTTGAAAAGTTACAAGGGTATATGCCGCGGTTCTCTAGACGACCACGGCATATACCCCCTGTAACTTCTGAAATTCCCTAGAAGGCAGTTGGGGAGACAGTTGTGTTCAGCACGTTACAGGGGTATATGCCGCGGTTCTACGAGCAACCGCGACATATTCTCTTATCTGAAATTAGTTTAATATATATTTGAAATATTTCGATGTATATGCCGCGGTTGCCCGCTGAACCGCGGCATATAGTTTGAAAATAATTTCAAAAATGCCATTTAGGATAATTTTTTAAATTAGTATATGCCGCGGTTGGGAGTTAAACCGCGGCATATACCCCTCTTATACCGCGGTTAAGTATTGAACCGCGGTAGATTCCCCCGTTCAGAGTTAAAAATTAAAACTTGGAACAGTGTCGTCTTCCTCGCGTCTCTGTTTCGCGTTTTCGCTCCCTCCGTCTCTGTTCATCTCCGTTTGCTCATTTTTCACCGTTTAAACCTTATATTGTTCGGTCATTATTCATTTTTGACGAGAAAAAACAGTTTTAGCCGATCAAAATCGTTTGAAACGCGTCATTCCCTCTCCGCTGCGATTTCGTTTTCTTTGCACCAAGCGTTTTCGCCGTTCGTCTTCGAGGTATTTATGCCCTTTTGCATTCTTAACGTGATTTCTTCATTAGTTTTTGCATAATGCTATAGTTTTGGTAATGTATGAAGTTTGTATAGTTTTGGTAAGCTTTAATTTTGGTAATGCATGAAATTGCTATAGTTTTGGTAATGTATGGTATGGTTTTTGCTATAGTTTTGGTAATGTGTGTTGTAGTTCTTGTATTATTTATAAACCTTAAAATATTATTCACTAAGTTTCAATGATATGTATGAAATTGTAAGTTTGATTTTTAGTAGCTTATCTTTTTATGTAATATTTAGGAATATGGATCGAAATTGGATTAATTTACCACGTATTAGTGCTGAGTACGAGAGAGGTGTAGAGGAATTTATACAATTTGCGCAACGTAATGAGGGGAGAACTGATGATGAAGTGAAGTTTAGATGTCCTTGTGTGAACTGTTTGAATGGGAGAAAGTTGAACGCAACTCAAATTAGAGAACATCTTATATGTGATGGTTTTCTAAGATGCTATACAACATGGATCTGGCACGGCGAAGAAATGGATTTTCCCACTGACTCTCAAAGTGTAAATGTTACTGATTCCACCATGGAAGAAGATCGACCGGATGAAGACAAATTGGAGGACATGATCCGCGATGTTGGAGCAGAAAATTTTGCCAAAGCTCATGTGTATGAGACGATGTCGACTGATGCAGAAACACCTTTGTATGTCGGTTCAACTAAGTTCACACGTTTATCAGCGGTGTTAAGGCTCATGAATTTGAAGGCGAGCAATGGATGGACTGATAAGAGTTTTACAGAACTGTTGACGTTGTTGAATGAAATGTTGCCAGATGGAAATACACTGCCCACTCGTAATTATGATGCGAAGAAAATTCTTTGTCCAATGGGTATGGAGTATAAAAGGATACATGCTTGTCCCAATGACTGCATTTTGTATAGGAAAGAGTTTGAATTTTTGACAAAGTGTCCAAAATGTGGCTTATCACGATACAAGTCAAAAAACAATAGTGAAGATAATGGTCAGATAGAAAAAAATGGATCTGCTTTGAAAGTAGTTTGGTACCTTCCAATAGTGCCCAGACTTAAGCGTTTGTTTGCGAATCCCAAAGATGCTAAAAATCTTAGATGGCATGCAGATGAGAGAAAAATTGACGGGCTGCTTCGTCATCCAGCTGATTCAAAGCAATGGAAAAATATTGATCGACAATTCCCCGAATTTGGTAAAGAGTGTAGAAATCTTAGGCTTGGTTTAGCCACTGATGGAATGAACCCATTTGGTAATCTGAGTACCAATCACAGTTGTTGGCCAGTTATATTGATAATTTACAACTTATCTCCTGCATTGTGCATGAAGAGGAAGTACATGATGTTGTCTATGATGATATCTGGTCCAAAGCAGCCTGGAAATGACATAGATGTTTATCTAAGCCCACTAGTTGAAGACTTGAAGGTTTTGTGGGTTGACGGGGTTGAAATATTTGATGCATTCGCTTCAGAGACTTTTATGATGCGTGCAATGTTATTTTGCACCATTAATGACTTTCCTGCTTATGGTAATTTGTCAGGATACAGTGTCAAGGGTCATAAAGCGTGTCCTATATGTGAAGAAAACACTGCAGCTCATCAATTGAAACATGGAAGAAAGACGGTGTATCTGCGTCATCGGAGATTTCTAAAACGTAATCATCCATATCGAAGGTTAAAAAAAGCATTCAATGGAGATCAAGAGAGGGACGAAGCACCAAATCCACTTACTGGCCTTGAAGTTCTTCAAAAAGTTAATAAAATACATCATGTATTTGGGAAAACATCGAAGAAGTCATCTGTAACGACCCCTTGGAAGAAGAAATCAATATTCTTTGATCTTCCATATTGGTCAAAGTTAGATGTTCGACATTGCATAGATGTGATGCATGTAGAAAAGAATGTGTGTGATAGCTTGATTGGTACATTACTCAACATTCAGGGAAAGACAAAAGATGGAGTGAATGCTCGTTTGGATTTGGTTGACATGAATATCCGAGAAGAGTTGGCACCGAAGGAGATTGGTAAACGTACTTATTTGCCCCCTGCATGTTACACAATGTCTAGACAAGAGAAGATAAGTTTTTGTGTATGTTTAAAGAGTATCAAAGTACCACAAGGATACTCTTCAAATATGAAGAGTTTAGTGTCAATGCAGGACTTAAAGCTTGTTGGCATGAAGTCTCACGATTGTCACGTCTTAATGCAACAGTTGTTACCGGTGGCTATTCGTGGAATTTTGCCCAAAAATGTTAGGCACACCATAAACAGGTTGTGTTCATTTTTCTCGTCAATATGTAGTAAAGCCATCGATCCTACAAAGTTAGATGAACTTCAAGGCGAGATTGTTATCATCTTGTGTCAACTAGAGATGTTTTTCCCTCCATCTTTTTTTGACATCATGGTACATTTACTTGTTCATTTGGTTAGAGAAATCAAGTTGTGCGGACCGGTATACTTAAGATGGATGTATCCTATTGAGCGTTATATGAAGATTTTGAAAGGGTACGTTAAAAATCCATATCGTCCTGAAGGTTCGATGATTGAAAGGTATATTGCTGAAGAAAGTATCGAGTTTTGTTCAGATTACATGACATCAACGAATCCAATAGGAGTTCCTCGCACAGCATGGTTGAATAAATTTTCTACAAGTAAAAGCATCCGAGGTGTCAATGTGGTGACAAAAGATCGCGAAGAATTGTTGCAAGCGCATCTTTATATATTGAACAACACAGATGAGGTGATCCCTTTTTTGGAAGCACACAAAGCCATTGTTAAGAATAAAAATCCAAGACAATCAGAGAAATGGCAATTGATGGAGCATAACAAAACATTTATGTCTTGGTTCAAATCTGAAATTGACAAAGAGCCACATTCTTCTGAAACTTTATTGTGGCTTGCAAATGGTTTGAAGTTTGATGTCGTGTGTTGTACAGGTTATGAAGTCAATAATTGCACATTCTATACGAAGACTTTGGATGATAAAAGCACAGTACAAAATAGTGGAGTCAGTTTAGAAGCTGAGTCACTTCAATTTTCCACATCAAAAGATCAATCTCCTGTACTTGGATCAATGAGATATTATGGTATAATAGAAGAGATATGGGAGGTTGATTACACCAAGTTTTCCGTTCCATTGTTCAAGTGTAAGTGGTTTGACAATAAGAGTGGTGTGAAAATAGATGACTCGGGTATGACACTGGTTGATTTTCGCAAGGTGGGTTATCGAGACGAACCGTTTATCATGGTACATCAACCATCTCAAGTTTTTTATGTCAAAGATCCTTCGTCTGACCATTGGTATGTTGCTCTTCAAGGCAAAAAACAAATTGAAGTTAACGAAGACAATCTAATTAATATTGATATTGCTGACAACCATTCATTTCAAACTACAACAAAGTTGGATGACCAATCTGTAGTTGACGATGATGTACATGCAATTCGGTCAGATCATGATGAGGGAATATACATATGATGAATCCATATCTTTATGTATGAATTTTCAATTTGGATACTATTACATGTTTTGTTAATTTATATGATATTACATAAGTCTTGAAAGAAAATTTAATGTTGTTATTTATTTTGACAGATATATGGCTGATCATCCACATTCTTCAGGGGATGAGGCTCCCCCACCCAGATCCACTAGAGGACCCACTAGGATGAAACAACTATTAATCAGGAAAAATAGTGGTGAAAGAACTCCGGTGAATGTGAATGTCACCACGGGTGTGGCAACTGGCCCCAATGCAGATGACTTCCGATCATACCTTGGAGTAGTGGCACGTGATAAGATTAGCATTCTCATTCCATCTTTTGATCATGTGTCCGAGGGTGATCGGAACATTATTTGGCAAGATATATTGGTAAGTTAGTTAATAGCATTTGAATTATAATTTGTTTATATTGATAATTTTGTACTAATACAACTTTATTATGTTTTTTTCAGATGACATTTGACATTCCAAATGTCCCAACACTTAGAAATAAGTGTTTGTCAACTGTTGCAGAAAATTTCAGAAACTTTAAAAGCAAGTTGACATCAAGGTACATCTTTGGACACCTTAAACATAAAACTCCATGTAATGCATATAAGTCCATTGATGAGGAGACTTGGCGGGTTTTTAAAGAGAGTCGGATGTCAGAGGAATGGCAGGTTAGTGTAGTTCATATTATTCAATTCCTCATTAACAAATATATATCATATGAACTCATTAATTAATGTGTATGTGACAGGCAATTAGAAGCAAAGCACAAGGAACAAGTGCTAAGAACAAAAACCCCCACCTATTATCTCGTGGTGGGTATAGGAAGCTTGAGGAGAAAATCCTCAAGCAAAAGGCAGATGCTATACCACCATCTCAGAGTGGTAGCCCTCCTCAGCCTCCTTCTCCACCGTCTAGACATGAGAAATGGAAGTTGGCCCGTATGCGACCATCGGGCACCTACTCTTCCGACACTGCACGAGAGATTTCTGAAAAAATTGTAAGTTATCACTGTTCCTAAAATAATAAATATTGTCATTATACATACTACATTAAACTATTTAAAGAATAATGGTGTTTTGTAATGTTACAGGACGCCTTGGTTGAGCAGAGCTCCCAAGGCCAATTCACTCCAGAGGGTCGCCAGGATATTCTTGCTGCTGCAATTGGACGACCTGAGCACCCTGGACGTGTACGTGCTGCAGGTCCTGGAGTAGGCATTACGGATTATTTTGGGAGCTCTTCTCGTCAGCCTTCATATTCGTACAGCGATACACAAAGGATGACAGAAGAGATCACAAAAAAGGTCCGACAAGACCTTATGCAGGAGATCAGGGCCGAGGTGAGGGCTGAATTCCAGATGCTCTACCAGGAGCAGTTTCAGAGCATGCGCCCGATGCAGTCTCCTATAGAGGAACATGTGGTCCCTCCCCCTCCCACAGGTAAACTTAATAAACATTTATGTGCAATTATTTCTATCTCTTGTATAATCTAACATTTACTCTGACAGGGAGAAGCGCCAAAGGAAGTTGTTCCGCATCAGCCATCCCAGAGGATGACATGGACGATGGTAGTCCATGTCTGCTATACATTTTAGAAGAAGATGAGATGGTGCTGGTAGCTCGTGGAACAGAGTTTAGGTCAGCGACTGTATGTCATGGTATGCAACTATTAGAGGATGAGGTGAAGGTCTCAGTGGATGAAATGATCATGCCAGATGCCTCGGTTCCACTGTCCACGGAAGAGATTTTCACTGTGGAACAAGCATATAAGTCGTTTATCACTTGGCCTAAATTTTTGGTTAAACCAGTTTCTGACCCCTCGGTATGAAATTCTTCTTTACACTTCTCAATTTTAAAGGTTTTTGATGTCAAAACTTATCTTATCTTTTCATGTAACAACAGACGCAGGAACAACAGAAGATTCCTCTATCTGAGGATGACCCTCTTTCTTCATTGCATCTACTTGCTGACATCCTTGATGATAAGCCTTTGGAGGTTCAGTATGATGCTAATGTATTTGGGCATGGCTCTGAGGTCCCAATATACCTTAATAGCCAAGATGTCCGTGAGCTTGCGTCGGGAACACAAGAGTTGAATATTTCAATTATTCAACTATGGACGATGTAAGTCTATGACCAATTATTTATATATAAAATTGATTTATATATCAAGTATCCTTATATCAAAGTTAATTTTTGATTTCAGGTATATGTTTGGGGTCGCTAATAAGTTGGGGCGTTCTGATGATTATGGATTCATTGATCCCCAAGAAATTCATGAATCAAATGATTTTGACCATATCAACATGAGTCTGATAAGAAGTTTTGGAAGGGGCAAGAAAATATACTTTTTGCCTTATATATCCGGGTAAGTGAACTTTGTTAACATAATAATGTTCCATATGTGATTTTAATATTTAATAGTTACGTTATTATGAATTTCAGGCGCCATTGGCAACTTCTTGTTATGTCTGTGCAAGACAACTATGCTTTGTGGTTCTGCTCATTGCACAGGCCTCCTCCCACACAACTCAGACAAGCAATTGATTGGTAAGAACCTCAATGTTTGGACTTTCTTTGTTATATAACTGAATGCTAAAACATTTTTTTATATACAGTTCTATTCCAGCAAGTATGATGATGGACGGGAGATCAATTGCTAAGAGTAGAAAGATTGCTTGGATTTCTCTCAAGGTTTGACATATGCTAAAGTCTGACTTTGTTATAATTGTTTTATAACAAATGTTATTCACTAACTATTATCAACTGTGATGATATATTGTAGTGTAACAGACAAAATGGGTCATATGAGTGTGGATACTATGTAATGTATTGGATGACCCATATTGTTCGTTCTCACATCACAAGAAGCTGGGAAACGGTAATATTTAACTTTAACAAATTTTGATTTTTTAACAAATGTTGAATTCATATACACTAATTAAAATGAATTGTCTTTTGCAGAGATTCAAGACTACTACACCAGTTCCTGAGAAGTCACTACTATTCATTAGGAACGCTGCTGCGAAGTATATAGTTAGATTATACAATAGCTCTTAGATTTAGATTTAAACAATGCATTTGATTAGATAGAATTTTCTTAGACTCTCTACTTTATTTGATGTTGAAATACATTTGAACATGTGTTTGTTATGTTGAAATTGAATTTCTGTAAATGTTTTTATATGCAGGTCTGTTTTTGTGGTAATGGATATCACAAAAACAGACCTGCAATTTTAAAAAACTGCAGGGGAATATGCCGCGGTTCTAACCACAACCGCGGCATATAGTGCTTCGTTTTTTTTTAAAAACGAGACATATGGCCGCGGTTTTGACACTAACCGCGGCATATTCGTCGGCCTATATGCCGCGGTTCAACCGCGGCATATAGTGCATTTTTTAATTTTTTTTTTAAATTTTTTTTAGGGTTTAGGCAGCGGTTCCCTAGACAACCGCGGCATATTCCGCAGCCTATATACCGCGGTTCGAACCGCGGCATAAAGTGTCTGACTTACTACCGCGGCTGAATATGCCGCGGTTCAAGAACCGCGACGTATAGTGAAAATGAACCGCGGTAAAAGCCCCTCGCTGCACTAGTGATAGCTACTTGAGAGGAGACAGGACGTGCGACCACGCATGACCATTCTAGCAGTGGCAATATCGTCTATTGTTGTCATTACTATCGTCTTCTATCGTTGCCACTACTAGAGTTCCAATTTTGACCGATGATCACACGACTTTAATTGTATCGGCCAGGTGAACATCGTGTTGTTAACGACGCCTTCATCGGAGCTCCTACTCGCTCTCAATGCCTTTTGAAGTTGTAGATCTGCTCCATTTTTCATCGTACGTGGTGGCACGGACAATCTCTTCTCAGGCACTAACTCAAAGTGTTAAGGTCACTCTTTTTCATCTTTCAGGTTTGTCGTGCATCATCGCACGTCCCGTCTCCTCTTAAGCAGCAATTTAGAGCATCAAGGTCATTCTTTTTCCTCTTTCAGGTGCATTGATTGGAGAATCTTGTAATTTTAAAGGTTTATCTCTCTTGTTCATCCATGGCTTCTTCACTTGTTCTCTTTTTTGACCTCCCTTTTGTCACCATTGCATTTGATCCGTCCATTTCTGTTTTTTCTCACATGGTAAAGATTACCTTTTTTAGTTCATTTATTACCGTGGTGGCTCTTTAATAATGACCTTTTTATCCACTGGATATAAAAAATGCACTCTTTAAAGGTGATTTGTTAGAGGAGATTTATATAGAGGAACCTCTCAGATTTGTTGCTTAGGGGAGTCTACTAGGTTGATATTTCATCTTTTATGTCGTCTTTGTAAATCATTAACAATTTGGTGTCACTCAAGTACAGAAGCAGATATTTTCATTAAGTCTTTATTGATTATATTAGTAATAAGCTTGGTACACACGATTTGTATACAAAAGATCAAAACCAGACTCTAATACCATGTTGAATATAATGAAAACTATGTATAAGATTAATCTCTCTTATGTTAAATATACAAATAGGGTCCTCTATTTATAATAGAAGAATTATGGTCTAAAGAATAATAACAAACTAACGAAAGATAAAAGATAAAGATAAGATAAACATAATATATCTAACAATCTATAGGATAGATCGTCTAACACCTTCATGTTTTGATGTTTAATAATCAACGATAAACGAAATGAGTATTGGACAAAGTATTATCCTTTTGAAAATAGTATCATTGAATGACAGACATCTTATGAAACATGCATTATGGAACCTGAATAAACAAAGAAAAGTTTCAGTAAATGTGCTAGAACCAAACGATCCTAATGATAATAGACATGTTATTACTAAATAATGATTTATTATGAAAGAGTCACTACATTAAACGATATTTTAGTAAAGGTTCAATATTTTGATAGTTCCTATTTTCGGTGATTTTTCTCAAATAGGTGTTTCACTTCTTTTTTGTCAGAATTGGGTCCTATTTTTGAAAAATTGACGCAATTAGGTCCTTGCCATTAGTTTTGTACTAACATAGTTAAAAAGATGACACGTGTCAGCTCATGGTTTTTTTTGAATTTTTTGAGTATTTTTTGAATTTTTTTTCATTATTTATTTATTTTTTTTTAAATAAAAAAATTGTTGGCATGTGTCAAGCTAACATTTTTCCACGTGCCATTGATAATGTGACATGACACTACTAGTGTCATGTGTCACTATCGGACCACATGTCATTGCATTTGTCTCACTTTGGTTCTTGTATTTTTATTTTATTTCAATTTGGTCTCTATTCTTATTTTATCTCAATTTAAACTTAATTTTTTTTTAAAAAATTAAAAAAAATTGTTCCTCTCCAAATTCAAACAAAATTTAATTTGTATATAAATATATACAAGTATATTTATTAAAATTTATATTTTTTAAAAAAATAAAAGAAAAATTGCTCATTCATTTTGTTTAGGTGAAATAATTTCATTTGTAGATCACCTTCTTTATTCTTATTTGTCTTAATTTAATATTTGTTTTAAAAACTTTAATGCAACTAAGTTAATTTCGTTAGTACTATATAAATAAAAATGTTTCATGCATTAGTTCGTAATTTTTTTATTTTTTCGATAAAAAATATTAATTTGTATAAAATATGTTGTAAAGATTTATTTGTAAATTAAATTTTATTTCAATTTGGAGAGGAACAACATTATTTATTTTTTTAAAAACAAAAGTATGACTAAATTGAAACAAAATAAAAATACAAGGACCAAATTGAAACAAAATAAAAATATAAGAACTGAATTGAAACAAATATAATAACACGTGGTCTGATAGTGATACGTAGTGTCACGTCAAACTGTCATTTCCACGTGGCATAATGTCAGTTTGCAATGTGGAAAATTTTTTATTTTTGAAAAAAATATTGAAAAATTCAAAAAAACAATGAGCTGACACGTGACATCCTCTTTAACAATGTTAATACGGAACTAACGACAATGACCTAATTGTTTAAATTTTTCATAAATAAGGACCCAGCTGAGGAAAAAAAAGTCAAGGATCTATTTGAGAAAATTAATCGAAAATAGGGATTATCTGAATCATTAAACCTTTAGTAAATGCATCAATATGCTACATGATATTTTTGCTAAATGTGCTCTCGTTTTACCTTACTAAACAATGCAATAATGTGTTACATGATGTGTTTGGTAAATGCGATAAAGTTGTAAACAATGATTCAAAAACAATATGTTGAGCAATACTTTCCTAAATGCACTCTTATACAAAACAAAGATCCCTAAACAATAAACTATTAGGAAACGACTTTAAAAGGTTAAACAATACCTTTTACTAAAGGATGTTCTCATCCCATGATGAAATTTTATGAATCAATACTTAATATCTTTTCAAAACTGCTTAAAATGATCTACATGTATAGAAAAATTGACAAGAACCAAGTTGTTTTGAACACTCAATGTAAAGCATTAAATGCACAATGTTTCAAACAATAAAAGTAATACAAAAAAGGACATATCTGACAATATACATCTCTACTCTATTTTGTGTAGATGCCTATTGCACGTATCCACCTACTCCATCATGAACAAGTCAAAAGTGGACGTTAGAAACAAAGAAGAAATTCATGGAGTGTTCTCTCCATTAAAAGTCGTGCTGAAGATTTCGTACAATTTACTTTGGTTATAATATTGCAAAAAGCATGCCTTCTCTGACACGTTGATTTCAACCTAATGCTGCTACCTATGAAAAGGCTAAGAAGATTTGAAGATTGAAGATAAGCATTGTCAAACAGATATTTTTCCATGAAGCCTATAAATAGAATATCCCTTCCAAAGAAGATCATGAAGGATATTAGCACACGAAAAACGAAAAGATCATCTAAACAACGAAACCCACACTCGTGCAAGAACAAAAACTCTAAAAATACACCTCCAAGCTTTATAGAGTCATAAAGCTATATTTGTAAGAAAATTGTTTTGAAATCAAACCCCATTATTCTTTCTATATCTATTTCAAAATTTCAAAAACTAAAAATTTTTTTCCTACCTTTGCCTTGGTCTCATTATATATAACCTTTAAAAAGTCCTCATGATCAGTAATTGCATGTTTTTTTCTAAAGTATGTGAATATTAGAGTCTTGCTAAATATCAAGCGTGTTTACTTAAATGAGTATTTTGAGT